CAAGAAACTTCACTAGGAAGTCTCCCAGCAGAGTAACAATGTCCTTCTCTTTCTTTCACTGTATTTATGGAATGTTTGATGTGAGCCAGGCTCAATGCTATACATACTGGCATTTACGGTCTCATACAGAAATATGATATTTATTAGTTTTTGTTGATTTATAAAGGTAATATAGAGTCATAACAGAAAATTTGGAACATAAACAGAACCAGAAATAAGAATCATGTAATCAGAGCCAGAAAGAGTAACTGCCATCATTTCGACAGATTTCCTTCTAATTTTTCCATATATACACGCATTTTCTATGTATGTGGAAATGAAATAATACTTTACATACAATTTTGTAATGTTCTTTTTACCCCCTTAACAATATTTAGATATTTTCTTGTAGCCATGAAAAATTCATTTTTATTTTTAATTCTTTTTTAATGTTTATTTTATTTTTGAAGGAGAGAGAGACAGAGCGAGGGAGGGGTAGAGAGAGAGGGAATCACAGAATGAGAAGAAGGCTCCAGGCTCCGAGCTATCAGCACAGACCCCAATGCAGGGCTCAAACTCACAAACTGTGAGATTATGACCTGAGCTGAAGCTGGACACTTAACCAGCTGAGCCACAGTGAGACCCCAGAAAAAGTCCTCATTTTAAAAAGCTGCATAATAGTTTATTTCTCTCTAATTTTGGATGTTTTGCTTGTTTCCAATTTTGTGACATTATAGAAAGGAGAGAGCAGTATATATCTTTACGCACAAATCATGTGCTCATTTTTGACTATTTCTATAGAATCTCTAGATATGGAATTATATGATTAAAGTGTATAAACATTTTTAAAGCTGGGAAATATTTTATAAAATTGCTTTCCAGTAAAGTTATATTAATTTATGTTTCCACTAATAGTATACAAAATTTCCCATTTCATTGCACCTTTGTCAGTAGTGAATATTAAAATTTAAGAAACTATTTTCTAATAGGTGTATTATATATAGTTTAAATTTTTACTTTTTCAATTACTAGGTAGTTCAAATGCTTTAAAATATACTACACACAGAGAGAGAGCTAATTAATAACCACTTTTGAGGTAAATTTCCCATTGAGATTTTTAAGTTTTCTTTCCAATTTGTGGGTACTCTTGTATTGAGTATAAAATTAACTGTCAGATTTGTTATGTGTAGTTCTATAGAGATTTTTTCTTTCCAAGTTTTGTTCACAATATTTTTAGTTGTCAGGATTTAAAATTTTTTATGTGATCTAGTATAATGGTCATTTCATCTGTGATTTTTCCATTTTTCTTCCCTTATCTTGAGATCACAAAAATATGTGCTTAAATTTTCTCCTAGCTTTTTTTTTTTTTAGAGAGAAAGAGAGAGACAGCATGAGCAGGGGAGGGTCAGAGAGAGACGGAGATACAGAATCTGAAGCAGGCTCCAGGCTCTGAGCTAGCTGTCAGCACAGAGCCTGACTCTAGGCTCAAACCCACCAACCATGTGATCATGACCTGAGTCGAAGTTGGATGCTTAACCGACTCAGCCACCCAGGCGCCCCTTAAAATTCTTTAAAGTAGCTGAAATTTGTTTTAGCACATAATGAAAGGCATGGCTTAGAGTGTTTTATCAAATTACTAGTTTTTTCAAGCTTGTTTATTGATTATCTGCCCCTTTTTCATTTATTTTAGATGACTTTGTCATCACCTCTTACAGTCAACACTACACCAACACTATCTTTTTCTGGATTATTGATTCTATTCTATTATCTATATCACTCAATATCTGCTACTGTTCTATTATGATACTTTTAATTATTACAGTGCTGAACTATGTTTCAATTAAAAACTGCAATTTACCATATTTTTCTCCATTTTCTTAATGCTTCTCATCTGCTGTTTATTCATCTCAATGTCAAAATAATTTTGTTTTCGGGGCGCCTGGGTGGCTCAGTTGGTTGAACGCCCCACCTCAGCTCAGATCATGATCTCACAGTTTGTGAGTTTGAGCCCCACATCTGGTGCTGTGCTGTCAGCTCAGAGCCTGGAGCCTGCTTCGGATTCTGTGTCTTCCCTCTCTCTCTGCACCTCCTTTGCTCAAACATTCTATCTCTCTCAAAAAGAAATAAACATTAAAAAAATTTAATAATTTTGTTTTTGCCTTCCCCAGGGTAGGTGTTAGTAGCCTCGTTGTGCCGATGAGGAGCTGAGTCTCAAAAATGAAAAGCAGCTCATAATTGCACATTCAAGTGGCAGAGGCATAAAGTAAATTCATTTCTTCTGACTTCTCTTTCAGCACTAAAATGGTATATTCTTTTAGTAAAGAAAACATGAAAATTACTAACCATTCTTCTTTCGTGTGTGCCCCCTCTAGTGGCCATTACAGATATTGCAGTTTCTCAAGTCAATGTTACACAGTAATTATTTTTATAAAACAAAAATGCATGTTTAACTTAAATTTTTTAGCTTACTTCAAAACTTTCCATGACACGAAGTTCATAATAATGCTTGGGGGTCATGGATTGCCAGGGCTTGCTTAACAAAGAGCAGCCTTGGGAGACATTTCTTAAAAACCCCTGGGGAATATAAAGTAAAATTTTATAAATTCCATGGGTTTTAAAGTAATAACAATAGGAGATACAAAGACTCTCCAGATGTTCTTTGTCCCTTTTTTATCCCTTGACATCATCTAAGGACTTTCATGAATAACTCTTTTTAAATTACCCCTCTAAGGCATTTCTTGTCTTCTTACCTCTCTTCCTGTTGTTCTAGCCCCTGTGTGTCATTCCGTGGGCACAGAGGTGCCTGGGCAGGGGTGCACCGGGCACTGGGGGCCAGTCTGTGCTCAGACAGTCACGCTGGGGCCCTGGGTAGGTCCGCACCAGCCCAGAGGAAGGTCCACCTGTTCGTAATTCCCACAAAGCTCTGGGGTGTGTGCTGGCCAGGGGCCGGCCTCATGGCCCCACAGCCACCTGGTTGAAACCTTACTCTCACTTTCATCCTTGTTCATTTCCCGCCTCGTTTCTTGGTGGTGATGGTGGCGTTTGGTTGGTTGGTTTTTGTCTTTTTCTTTTCTCCTTCTTCCTTCCTAATCCCATCATTCTTCAATTTCTTCCTTTTTATCTCTTCATCTGTAAGAAAAGAGAGTAAAATTTAAATTCTACACAAAAGACAATGTGTACATCTGAAATTTTAAGTAAACTTTAAAAAATTAAGCCAAACATATGTTTATACATCATGAAAACTTAACAAAAAGCACAATAATAAAAAGAAAAAAGGGGCGTCTGGGTGGCTCAGTCAGTTAGCTTCTGATTTTGGCTCAGGTCATGATCTCAGGTCATGATCTCACTGTTCCAGGGTTCAAGCCCTGAGTTGGGCTCTGCTGACAGCTCAGAGCCGAGACCCTGCTTTGGATTATGTGTCTCCCTGTCTCTCTGCCCTTCCCCAGCTTATGCGCACGCTCTCTCGCGCTCTCTCTCAAAATTAAACTTTAAAAAATTTTTAAAAAAACAATTCTGGGAAGTACTTGATAAAATGTCTTTTTCTGTATCTGAAATCCCTAAAGACAGGGGTTGCCTATATTCCCTCTCACTGGTGGGTGTTGAATAGTATTTAATTTTTACTAAGCCAATTCATGCTAAATGAATTAGAACTTAACACAATATGGGACACAATTTGATTAAACAAACAAACATAAACAGCAGAAAGCTTAGACCCATTATTCATCAAGGATTAAGGACTGACAGTATTGATTGCCTCCTGGACTGGGTTCAGAAAGAGGATAATAATACTTGCCTAATTAACTAGCATGTTGGGCAGATTAAAGTGCTTTGTAAATATTAATTAAAGATGCAGGGAGTTAGTTGAGGCCACTGTGTTATGAGTAAAAAAGGTGTCTCTCCTTTAATCAGGCCCGTCTTCCCGGGGAGGGCAAAGAAATGAGCTAAGGGCTAAGGTATTGGGGCTCAGCCCTGAGTGCCGCCCGTGACTCAGTCAACTCCGTGCAGCCTGGCCTCTGCCTTCCCCGGTTCTCTGTAAAATGGGGGTGCACACACCTAGCACCTCGGAACGCAGGTTTCAGTATGCCTGCCGGCCGGGGGTACAACCGACCCCGCAACTAATAAAGCCGCGGAACCCTCGCGCGCTCCCCCCCTCGAGAGCGGCGCCGCGCGGTAGAGGCGCTGGTCACGGTCGCTCACAGGCGCGTAACGACCGCTGCACGGCCGGCCAGTCACCCCAGTGCGTATTTCCACAGCCGCTGAGAAGGAGGCAGCACCGCGCAACGGGGTCAGGGGCCCCGGGAGGAGTTTCTTAGCCTCTCTGCACCTCAGTCTTCCCTCGGGGCAAAAAGGGGCACCGAAATCAGGGTCTTGTACTATAAAGATCGCCTGCAATAACGTGTACGTGAAATGCCTCCTCCGAGCGTAATAAAGAGTCCGTCTTTGGGAGTTATTATCTCAAGTAATATGACCTCTCAGAGCTGACGACGATGCGGGCGGGAAGGAAGCCCCGTCTCCGTTGGAGCTCCAGACGCAAACCCCTATGGCTCTTCACGGCGGGTGTAACTCGAAGGTGGCGCTGTGGGGGGGGGGTCCCCAATTCAGACCTGGCGCGGAGAGCGAGGACCCCCTTCGAGAGGCGGCCGCTGGGCAGCTCCGGCGCGGGGACCTGTCCCTTTAAATGCCCCGGGCGCGCGCTGGGTGTTTTGGGGGGCTGAGCCCCCGCGGGGAGCGCGCGGCGGGGCGGTGCAGCGCGCAGGAGCGAGCGCGCGGCGTGTGGGGGAGGAGGGAGCGCGGGGCGGGGGTGCGAGGGCGTGGCCGGCGTGTCAGCGTGCTGTGGGGAGCGCGCGGCCGCCGAGCGAGCGCCGGGCGGGGGCGGGAGCGCGCGGCGGGGCGGCCTGGGACTGACGGCGAGAGCGCGGCCGGCGTGTCAGCGTGCTGTGGGGAGCGCGCGGCCGCCGTGCGAGCGCCGGGCGGGGGCGGGAGCGCGCGGCGGGGCGGCCTGGGACTGACGGCGAGGCGCGCGCGCGGGCTGGCCCGGGAGCAGGCGGCGCGAGGGCTCCGCGTCGCGGTCCGGTCCGGGTGGGCACCTGCGGTCCCCGGGGCGGGAGCTCCTTCCAGGTGAGTTCGGACTTGGAGATCCCCGACTGGGTCAGAAGTTGGGAGGGTGCCCTGGCAGCCGGTGACCTCGCCTGGCACGTCGGTGAGCGGGGCGCCGTTTGGAGTCTGTAGAGGGAGGCTTGGGCTCGGGTGGGTTTCAGATAGACAAAGGTGACCCCCCTTTTTTGTGGCCCGGCGCTCTGCGCTTCCCACGCCGCCCCGCCGGTGCCCGAGTTGCGTGGATCTCTCCTTGCGCGCTACTCCCCTCCGCCTCGTTTGCCCCGACTCCTGGAAGTTAGGAAAGACGCGCAACCCGAGGGACCGTGGTCGACCCGGTGCCCCCTTTGGGATTTTAGGGATTCGCGTGCGCCCTAGGTTCGGGAGGTGAGGAGAACGAGGCTGTTTTCGGCTCCGAGGATGTCCTGTTCGGGGGGTGCAAGGTGTCCGAGGCACGTGTTTAACTTTGGGCGCGGAGCGGTTACGAGTTGTCCCTGACACCCTTCCTCTGTCCCCACGGCCCTTCCCCGGAGTCGTTCCAGACTCGTCGCCTGCCTTGCCGCCCCGGTCCTCGAACTCCCGGGAGCTCTACTCCTTGTGGCTGCGGAGAGGAGGCTGGGAGGCTAATATTGACACAGGTAGCCAAAGCCATCTGTTAAACTCGGGTCCTGTGCGAAGTGACCGGTAGATTCTTGTTCCCACCCTCACCCCACCCCCACCCCCGCTCTCCAGCCTCGGATCACCAGCAGGTAACTGAATCGAGTGGGAATGCGTAGAATCTGCAGTTAATTCGGGGCCGGAAGGGATTAAAAAAGGAGAAGAAAATGTGGCCAATGTGATGCAATTTAACAAAAGGCAATACAATAAACTCCAGTATTTCTCCAAGGCTTTTTAAGTTTCCCAGTATTGTTTTACGGAGTCTAAATTTAAGCTTTTTTTTTTTAAACTGCAGGAACTAACCTCAGAAAACTCTTAACTCTTTGCCAGGCAGGATAGTTGGTACAGAGCAGAAAACTTGAAAGTAATATTTTGTGACTCCCTCCCTGCCACAGAATAAAACAAACGTTCAGGTCTGTTGCAGGAAGACTGTGGGAAGAAAGTTACTTCTGACAACTAATTTTAATGGAGAACATTTTTCTTTTAATCTGTGTTTCTGAAAAATACAGAAATACCAAGCCAGGTGTAAGTGTGAACTTGCGAAAGATGCTCACAGAAGAGATGTTTATTAAAGATACTTTTCTACTGTATTTTTCTAAAGCACTGCATACTTAGGGCTCTAGCATGCACTAAAAAGTTAGCCCTCGGAGTTCCATGTCTGAATGTTACAGATTGTTTTTCTAGGTGGAGGAGGTATTTTCGTTCATGAGGCCAATGTGGAAATACAAACAAATGCCCTATTTACTTGGGATTGGGTGGGAAGGACGGAAGTTGTCTGAAATCTCTCTTGCCAAACTTGACAGCGTATGTATGGAATCTTGTGTATTTTCTTGCCCAGACCAATAATAGCCACTTTTAAGTGACTGGATAGATTCATTGGTAGCAGCGTTTCAACTGAGCTTTTCTTTGGAAATTTTGGATACTATCTAAAAGCAACACGTTTTCTCCATTACTAAAAATCAGGAAGCCAAAATTAGAGTAATATTGACTAGTGATAATTTAGAGAAGGCTGAAAAGATGTGAGATGCTTTTAAAGAGATCGGAGTGTGTCAGACTCTGTGACAGTGCTGCTTTGCCTACTTGGGTGCAGGGGCTGAGTGCTCATTAATTCATGCAGTGATATTTGGAGACTGACCACATGTACCATGCTGAGTTCTGAGTTCATCTTTGGGCACACAGGCATATCTAGATAACAGCCATATGGCCCAGACTGATTAAAATCAGATCAAGTAAGCCTTCTTCAGGAGCTGAAGATACACCTGGCCCTGATTCCAAAGTTCTCAGACACCTAAGGAGCCTATAGTTGGCACCCTGTGTTGATTCTAAAGATCATCTCAAATAACTAACTGCATGAGGTAGAGTGGAGCCTTGAAGCCCGAAGGAAGGGAAGTGAAAGGCTTGAGTGGAGCAGAGCTGAGAACAGGGGAGACTCTGGAGCACAAGTTCAGGTGTACCTTATCTCCACCGTTGTGGGACAGCCGCCAGGGGCATGGAGGCCATACGGGGGGGTAGGTGCCAGGGAATCCTAGGAGCATCCCAGAACTTGAGCCCTTTGCTTTGCCGAAGGGCAGCATTGCATTTCAGTTTCCATTGCCCTTTCTGGTGGTGGTGCTGGTGGCTTCCTAGCTGCCTGCATGCTCTGAGGCCGGGCCCTGCCGCTCTGCCTCTGAGACGCTGCAGCACACCCCTCTTGAACCCTGAAGGGCATCTGCTGGCCATTGCAGAAAAGCCTCTGTCCACACTGGCATAGTGGGGTTAATAGAGTGGACTCACTAGTAGTAAGTAGCCTCTGACTGTGGAGAGCTGCAGTGAGGCTCCACCTCTCAGTAATGCCCTTTTCCTTCTTATAGACTTCGCAGCATTAATAGTGAAACCTATTTTAAGAAAGTAGGTGCTGGGTTTATAATCCATGTGGTCAGGATTCAAGGTAAAGGAATGTGGAGGGCAGAACATTTCCACCTTGTTGGAGAGAGCTGTGATAGTGCTTTATGAATGCAGATCTTAAGACTGGGTAGTTCCAGAAATCGTAGCACTATGAAGACTTGAATTTCTTTATTTCTTAGATTGTAGTAAAAAATATATATATACATATGTATGTGTATATATATAAAATCAAGTTTATCATTTTAAAGTGTACAGATTAGTGGCATTGAGTACATTCACATTCGATGTGTTTGAGAAGACTGTGTTTTCTTTCATTTGTTTTCTGCAGACGGCACGTGGGCGGCTCAGTTGAATAAGCATCTGACTCTTGATTTTGGCTCAGATCATGATCTTGTGGTTCGTGAGTTTGAGCCGCATGTCAGGCTCTGTGCTGACAACGCAGAGCCTGCTTGGGATTCTGTCTCCCTCTCTCTCTGCCTCTCTCTCTCTCTCAAGAATAAATAAACATTTATAAAAATGTTTTCTATAGAGATCTACAGATATCCACTAAATGAACCTTATTAATTGAATTATTCCTCACTAACTTTGTGTCCACTGAATGTATCAACGATTGAGAGAAGTACAGGAGGTCCCCGACTTAATGATTTTTAGACTTTACAATGGTGCAGAAGTGATACACATTCAGTAGAAACCATACGTGGTATTTGGAATTTGAATCTTGTCCTAGACTAGGGACCTGTGGTCAGTCCTCTCCCAGATGCTGGGTGGCTCCCAGGCAGCCAGCGATCGAGGGCAGACAGCCCGTCCACTGACAGCCATTCTGACCCATCCTGCCATTCTGTTCTTCGATTACAGTATTTAGTATGTTGCATGAGATACTCAGCACTTCATTATCAAATAGGCTTTGTAGTAGAGGATCTTTGCCCAACTATAGGCTCATACGAGTATTCTGAGTACTTTTAAGGTAGGCTCTGTTCAGTAGGTTCTGTGTATTAAATGCATTTTCAGCTTAAAATATTTTCAACCTAATATGGGTTTATTGAGATAGAACCTTATCATAAGTCAGGGAAGATCTGTATATTGAGAAATACCACTGTAATGGGGGATTTGTCAGTAACTCCATATATATTTTTAAATATTTCTTTATTTCTTGAGAGAGAGAGAAAGAGAGAGAGAGAGTGGGGGCAGAGAGGCTCCAGGCTCCAGGCTCTGAGCTGTCAGCAGAGTCCAACGCGGGGTTCGAACCAACAGATGCCCAAGAGCATGACCTGAGCTGAAGTCGGGCGTTTGACTGAGCCACCCAGGCGCCCTTAATATCCACTTTGTATTTTAAGCTAGAAAATATTCTGAGGCTTCATGCATACAACTTTATATGTTAGTATCTAACAATGTGCATTTATAAGTTTATATTGGTAGACAGTATCTAATAGGAATTGAACTTTTTACTATTACATAGTTCTCTTCATCATTAATGAGGATTTTGCCTTAAAATCCATTTTGCCTGACGTAACATAGCCAGAAGTGATCTTCTCATTGCTGCTGTTCTGAATATTGGCTTGATGTATCTTTTCTCATCCTTTTTATTTTCTTTTAAATGTCTTTGCTGACGTATAGTAAACTGCACATACTTCAAGTGTGAAAAAGAAAAAAGTACATTCACAGTGTTGTACAACCATTACCACTATCTAGTTCCAGAACTTTTTCATCACCCTGAAAGGAAACTCCATTCCCATTAAGCAGTCACTCTTCATTTCCTCCCGACTCCATTCCCTGGCAATCACTAATCTTCTTCCCCTGTTCTGGATATTTCATATAAACGGAATCGTACAGTATGTGGTCTTTTGTGGCTGGCGTCTTTTACTTAGCAATGTTTTTGAGATTCATCCATGTGATAGCATGCATTTCTACTTCATCCTTTTTATTTTTTATTTATTTATTTTGAGGCATAGAGTGTGAGTGAGGGAGGGGCAGAAAGAGAGGGAGACACAGAATCAGGCTCCAGGCTCTGAGCCATCAGCACAGAGCCTGATGCAGGGCTCGAACCCACAAACCGTGAGATCATGACCAGATCCGAAGTTGGACAGCCAACTCACTAAGCCACCCAGGCGCCCCTCACTTCATCCCTTTGTTTTTAAGTGGCTGAATCAGATTTCATTGGAGAGACCACAATTTGTTGATCCATTCATCAGTTCGTAGACATTTGGGTTGTTTCCACCTTTTGGCTATTGTGAGTAGTGCTGCGATGAATATTTGTTTACTACTAGTTTGTGTTTGAACACTTGTTTTAACTTTTGGGGGGTCTGTACCTAAGAGTGAAATTCCTGAGTAATATAGTAATTCTACGTGTAACCTATCAAGGAATCACCAGACCATTCTCCATGGCAGCTGCACTGTTTTATATTCTCACCAGCAACACATGAGGATTCAAGTCCTCCACATCCTGCCAACACTTGTCATTGTGTGTGTGTGTGTGTGTATATGCA